CCTTTGTTCTTTAATGGAAGTTGGCTGTGTTGATGTAACCATACTGTCGATCTTATCTGAATCCGCTAAGACCTTCCCTTCATGCACAATGTGTCCAAGATAGTGGACCTCCCACTGTCCGAAAGGGAATTTGGACCTTTAGGCATAAAGCTGGTGGGCCTCAAACAGGCCAAGAGTCATGGTGAGATTCTCCAAATGAGTTGGTCAATTGCTATAAACAAGAATATCATCAAAGAAAACCAAGACAAATTTCCACAAGTATAGCAAAAATATATAATCCAGGAGAGCCAGAAATGTAGAAGGGGCATTTGATAGATGAAAAGGCATAACAAGAAACTCATTGTGGCTGTCATGTGTATGGAAAGCGATCTTGGAGTTGTCACTGAGGTGAACTTGAATCTGATGGTACCTGGACTGCAAGTCCAATATAGAAACCTACACAACACTTAATTCGCCCAGAAGTTCATCAATAATGGGAATAGGCCACCAGTTCTGGATTGTAATTTGGTTTAAAGCACAGTAGTCCACACAAAATCACCAAGAACTATCCTTCCTTTTCACAAATAGCACCAGGGATGAGGTGCTAGTGCTGGTTGTATCATTCCCTTCCTAAGGAGTTCCTACACTATCTTTTCAATCTCAGGCTTATGATAGTGCGGGTAGCAATATGACCAAGGTTCAAAGTACCGATAAGATATGCCCGATATGGGGCATATTGTATCGTATCTGTTGAAAAGGATACGGTCCGAAACGCCTGTTTCCAGGTGTTTCGGACCCCCAATTTTTTAATAATAAAAAATATCTTCTAAGCTTCCCAAAAAACTAAACTTTGAAAAAAAAACTAAAAAAAAGTATGTATTGGCTGTTTCTAAGTACCGATACGATATGACCGAAACTCATATTGTATCGAACCTTGAATATGACTTTATATTGGTTGGGGATGCTCCTGGTAGAAGGGGGATGTTTGATCACTTGGCCAGGACAGATGCTAGTCCTTAGGGTCTTCAAAGACCTTAGCATACTGTTACAATATCTGTTCATGTTGGTGAACTGGTTTTCTGCCACTGGGTTGTATTTCTCTTGTGAACATAATTATTACCCAGTTGTTACCACCCCAAAATGCATGTGTTTCAGCTGTCTCAGCCATTGGCAACATTTCAGGTTAGCCTCTGTCTAATATGCTTTATCCCGGTAACCTTTTAGCTGGTAGGTTACTCCATCCAGGGAGATATCCATTGTAAGATGGGTCCACATAGCACATGGCCCAATTGATGTAGCCATTCAATGCCTAAAACCATATCCGCAAAAATAAAGTTTAGGGGGTGGAGGTCTACCTCAATCTCTTTGTTCTATACCTTGAGCTTAATGGTCTTGCATGAGCCATCACAAGACAGTTTGTTACTGTCTGCCACAATGGACTAAGAATGGTTTGAGTCTACTATAAGTCTAAACTTAGTTGCTTGGCTAAGCCATGGGAGATGAAATTTAGTGTAATTTTGTTGTCTATTCGAATAATAATGGGTCAACCCTTCAGATTACCTTCAATCTTCATGGTCTGAGGCGAGCCAATGCCCATTGTAGCTTGTAGTGAAACTTTTGGCAATTCACGCCCACTAGGTCATCTATTTCGAGAAAATAAATCTATTGGGCCTTGCACCTATGGCCTGGGGTGAATTTCTCCTCACAGTTGTAGAACAGGCCTTTCTCATGTCAGGCTTGCATCTCGGCCCATGTGAGTTTCTTATAAGGCAGTATGGGTGGGACTGTGGTTCTTTAGTCCAGTTTGGTCCACTTGGTGAACTGGGGTCTTCAGAATCAGGCCAACTGGCTGGCTGAACCATCGCATTTAATTTAATTTTTCTTCCTACAGTCACATGAGACCTGTGGTGACCGTGGTTGTTGTAGGTCTTCACCCCTTAACTTCAAGGCATGTATTTCCTCCCTTAAGATATCCACTAAACTCCCTACTAGAGCCTTCTTATCCATCTTAAGGCATGTATGTTCTCCCTTCGATTTGATACTCACGTACAGATCCAGTCTGTTTCAATTTGGGAAGGGCTTCATCATAATCTTTAAAATCTGATGGTTTGAACCTCACACATAGAGATTCCGTGAAGTCTGACCATGTGACCTGAGGATGGGGCTTCTGTATCAAGAAAGTGGCTCTCCATTCAGGTAGATTGAGGCAATTGAGTCCTCACCTGAAAATGTAGGGAAGTCCAGCTTGGCAAATTTTCTGGTGAAGTTTCTTCTTCACCTGATACTTCCAATACTCGATGTCTCCTGGTCATTCTCCACTCCACGGGGTAGCAAGTGTTCACACTGCAACATCACTGTTGTTAGCGCCTGATTGATCTCCTTCAAATTGCCTTCAATCTTGTGAGGGCCTCTCTCTAATTGATCTATTGTCTTCTACTATTGCCGATCTAGTATTGGTCATCTTCCAAGGATTGATATGATCTGCAGTTCTAATACCAATTTGTTTTGTTACTTCTTAACTCAGGTGTCTCTTGAAGGGGACTCTACGTCCTTAGACAAGAATGAGAGAGAAGAGGGATTTAAGGGAATTTCTTTCTTAATATTTGCAGCACCACTGTTAATACTCATACAACCTCTACGTACCAGATTTGTAGCCAACATGTTCTTAGCCGAACAGCCTAACCAACTGGATGACATGGCTTCCTCCTGTAAACAAACTTCATGGGAGATTGATAGGGCCTGGTGGGTGCACTTGGGGCATTAACCTAGGCCTGGGCTGGTCATTCATATGCAGTGTTGGGGTGTGGTTCCATCACATCGTCAAATGTATGACATTTTATCAAACCTTCCAGATGGTTCCATTTATCTTGGAAAACTCTTTCTGCATTTCTCTCCTTCCGAACTGATTACAGAACTAAGCTTTCTTTATGCATCTCCAGATAATCTACTCTTTTTAGTTGGTAGCACAAGAAATCTGAGAGAAAAAGAGCTTGAAATTTGCTCATTTTACTTTTAGCAAACTCTTTTCTTGAAAGAATTGTGCATGTACAGTGAACAAAGGTCTTCAAATGTTTGATACTTTTAGTTAGAGTCAAGAAAGATTAGAGAACAGGAGCTTGGGATTTGCATACTTTATTTGGCCTTTTCTAGTTTGAACACTTGAAAACATCCTTTGTGGATTGCTGGAAGTACCATCTTTCACCAAAAGTCTGCATGCTTTACAGTGAACAAAGGTCTTCAAATGTTTGATACTTTTAGTTGGAGCCAAGAAAGATTAGAGAACAGGAGCTTGGGATTTGCATACTTTATTTGGCCTTTTCTAGTTTGAACACTTGAAAACATCCTTTGTGGATTGCTGGAAGTACCATCTTTCACCAAAAGTCTGCATGCTTTACAGTGAACAAAGAGGTGATTAGTCAATTCAACCACTTTGTTGACATGGCATTTGATCCTTGCTTGGGAGGTCTATTCTTCTACAGATCAGATTATCTTTGTCATAGTTGCCAAGGCGACGCCTAGGTGACAAGGCACCCTTGGAGGCTCGCCTCGCCCAGTCATCATGCAGTTTTGTATGCTGTCTTATAAAATACTTTTATATTGTCACTTTTTTTAGATTATAATTATAAAATAGACATCATTAAACAAAAATATTCATTTTTTGTGTTTATAAGCTAATTTCTTTTTATTATTTTCTTATTTGTTAGGGTTTAATTAACACAAAGAATTGCTAACTGCTGTATTGAACCCTCAAAGACTTCAGAATCTGAACCAATAAGTAAGGGAAAAACTTAAAGTTTTGTCTAATCAACACATTTCTTCCTCCACTACTTCTTCTTCTTCTTTTCCTATAATAAAAATAGGGGTTCAGTCCCCATATTTGTTGAATTTTCTTTTCTTTCTTTTTTTTCTTCTCATAAATATGTTGATTTTCTAAACTTAAACATGGAGTTTATAATTTTCTTAGGGTTAGTTATTAAGGAAAGATGGTTGTGGAACCTAGGGAACTACCTAGGAATGTATTTTTTACTTAAAAAAATCCATTGCCGAGGCGACTAGGTGACAAGGCACCCCCCTGTCGCCTAGCCTCCCCTTGGTGCCTTGAAAACTATGATCTTTGTTAGATGCTTACCTATGAAACCTGTTCATACCATAAATGCCTCCTTTGAGGGGGCTGGGTGACACCAAATTTGTCCACATGGAAAATTCCCCTTAAAGCACACCTTCCTAAAGAGGTTGGTTGTGGCACCATTGATCACACTCAACCTTATTTTCGTGCCATTGCTCACTTATGTTATACTTTTTTAAGAATGACGTGTAGAATTCTTCATCTAACAGGCTAACACTGGTAAGAAGATCTAATTTCCCCTGGGTCCCATTCCCACCACAAATATTGGGAAACCAGGTCATAAATGTAATGCTTTTATTGTTTGGGCTTGATGGTGGTTATTTTTGACTTCTTTTGTTACTGATAAAGAAAATGTTATCTTGTAGTGATACTCAAAGTTTAACTTCTCACCATGACCTTTGAAGCAATGCTGCATTCCGTAGAAAAGTTCCCTAAACTATCTTTCTCCTTTGTATGGAATTATAATTGTTCTTCTGTTTTAAAGAAAATATAATTGTTTTTAGATTATTCCATTAATTTCTTGTCATTTTTTTTCTATTTAGTAATTTCTAAATTCTAAGCAAGCACTCCAAATCATGTACTTAAAAGATTATAGATCTCATCCCTGTCCTAGGGTGTTTTTTAGTAAAATCACTACTTTGATATGGTCCTTGCAGTTATGAAAAATATTCCCTTCTATTTCTGTCATAATGCTTATTAGTTATATATAATGAGCTCTATGTTCAATTCATTACTTGTATTTTATGTTTTGTTAATTAATTCTACAAGCAATATTAATCCTCTACTTTTAGGATGCAGAATGTCAGCTATATGTGGTCTACCTTGACATAGGCTATTTTTTTTTTTTTTTTGTTTTCTTGTCTTGATAACCATTTTGGTCTGTTGGCGCTGCCAGAAAATTATGTGGAAGCTGAACAAATCAATTGCAAAAGAATTATTGCCTACACAACCAGTTGACTTTACAATTGAACCATGGTGGGGAGTTTGCCTTGTTAACTTTACATTGGAAGAATTTAAGGTTTGTCATGCTTCTCATTCTGGTTTTGAATTGTAATGAGTTTTGGTTCAAATACAATAACAGGAGAAAGATAAAATCTAAAAGACAAAGAAAAACAAAAGTAGGCATTTGCAAGTTATCTTCTTTTCCAAATTCAAATTCAAGATGATCTGAACTCTATCTGTTTATTATTGGATCTAATATGGATCCCACACCAATCTGATATGGTATCGTTTGAATATGATGCAAATTCATTTTGAATGTAAATATTAATAAATTAAATTTGGAAGTAGATATATCCAATTTGATCTGATCTGTTTTCTGCCCTAAAGAATAGGGTGCTCATGTAAATAAACTACTCTAACATTAGTTTCTGAGATGCAATTTGTTAGAATCAAGTTGAAGGTTCAGAAAGAGGCAACAAATTTGGTGGGTGTGACACCATGTGTCAGTCGACACCCTAAAAGATATATTTATATTAAAAAGATAAAAGGACAAATCTGCCCTTAGTGTACAAAAGAAATCGAGTACAAAGAATAGTTATACAACAAAGAAAAGTAAAAGTACAAAAATAGCCTTGCGGCTAGATCTTCTTATAGTCTCTACACTCCCCCTCAAACTGATGCCTAGGAATAAGCATCAATTTGTCCATGAGAAATAGATGCCGAGCCCGAGACATGAGGAAGAAATATGGTACCCTCAAGAAGGAGATCGCGGATGAAGTGGCAATCAACTTCTATGTGTTTGGTGCGCTCATGGAAGACGGGGTTGGAAGTAATTTTAATTGCACTGACATTGTTTGCATAGAAAGGAACAAACGATGGTGGTTCATGAAGTATTTCAAATAGAAGAGCCCGAAGCCATATGATCTCACTACACACGGAAGACATAGCCCTATTTTCAACTTCAATTGAAGATTTGGACACAGTAGCTTGTTTCTTGCACTTTCACAAGATAAGATAGTTGCCTAAGAATACGCACCAGCCAGTAATGGATTGTCGGGTGTCAAGGCATCCAACCCAATCAACATCCACATAAGCCATTAGGTTAATAGAGGATGAGGAAGAGAATATCCCGTGTGACAGAGTACCTCGCACATATCTAATGATCCAAAGAACTACAGATAAATGAGGTTGTCTTGGTGAAGACACAAACTGGCTCACTATTTGAGCTGCATAAGATATATTTGGCCGAGTCATGGTGAGATATATTAAATTGCCCACTAGTTGACGATAAAGGGTAGAATCTTCAAGAAGAGAACCATCATCTTTGTTGAGTTTGAAATTCAGTTCTAGTGGGGTATCCACAATCTTAGAGTCACTAAGATTTGCTAGTTTAACGAGATCAGCCGCATACTTTTGTTGGTTAAGAAAGTGGCCCCGAGAGTTTCTGCTCACTTCAAGTCCTAATAACTATGTCAAAGGCCCCAAGTCCATTTTAAAGGACTCATTGAGTAACTGTTGTAGCCTAGCAATTCTTTCTGTATCATCCCCTGTAATGAGAATATCATCGACATAGAGGAGTGATATTGTTACTCCCTGCTTCCACCTTAAGATGAATAAATAATAATCTGAAGAACTTTCGATAAAGCCAACATCAGTGATGATAGATCTGAACTTCTCAAACCAAGCCCTAGGAGCTTGCTTTAGGCCATAAAGTGACTTCTTCAATCAACAAACGAGCTGTGGATTTGTACAATATCCAGGAGGGGGCTTCATATAGACTGTCTCTTTCAACTCCCCATGGAGAAAAGCATTCTTGACATCCATCTAATGGATTGTCCACTGCTTGGCTGCAGATACAACTATTAGAAGTCGTACAGTGGTCATCTTAGCTATAGGAGCAAAGGTCTCCTCAAAGTCTATCGCATATTCCTATTTGTAGCCTTGTGCAACCAGCCTAGCTTTGTATGTGTCTAGGCTTCCATCGGATTTTAGTTTCACAGAGAAGACCCATCGACTTCCTATGAGAGATGTCTCAAGTGGAGCTCTGACCAAGTTCTAGGTGTCATTCTCAAGAAGGGCTTGAATCTCAGAATCCATGGCATCTTTCCAGTGTGGTTTTGCTACAACTTGCTAGTAAGATCTTGGAATGTTTGTGGTAGATAAAACAACGGAAAATGAGCTATGGTTTGGTGAAAAACCATAACGGTCAAGTGGGTGAAAAATTCTAGAGGAACGGCGTAAAGTGGGAGCAGTAGGTTCAAGGAGAAGGTCAGGTACACTTATTGAGGCAATTGGAGTGACTAGATCAGCAACTGGTGGCAGAGCAGAGGAGAGCATTGAGACTAAAGAAGGCCATTGCTTTCTGAAGTAGGTTTGAAGTTGTTGTAGAGGTGACAAAGGAATATCTGAGGTACCTATACAATCAAAACTATGCAACAAGGAAATGGAAGGAGCTAGGAATTTTATAATATGTTCAAAAAAGGACACATTTTCAAGAAAAACTACATTACAAGAGATTCTAATACGATGAACAGAAGGATCATAACAAAGGAATATGTTCAAAACTATACCCCATAAAGGCACACAAAGCTGCTTGTGTAGTTAACTTTGTGCGTTCATGTGGTGGAAGGTGAACAAAACAAGCACAACAAAAAACCCTGAGCATGGATAGGTCTGGGGGTTTGTGAAAGAGAGATTGAAAAGGAGAAGAGTTATTCAAAACAGATGAGGAAGACGATTTATGAGATACACAACAGTGCTGGCCGCCTCCACCCAAAACCAAGAGGGTACATGAGAATCTTGTAGAAGTGTTCTGACTACACTCAAGATATGCCCATTCATCCTTTCTGCTACCCCATTTTGTTGTGGGGTGCCTAGATAGGATTTTTGGGGTTGAGTTCCATGTTCTTTTAAATAATTTTGGAAATCCCCATCAATATACTCTCCCCCTGAATCTGATTGTAGCACACATATTTGAGCATCAAATTGGGTAGTAACATAGGTGTGAAAGTGTTTAAATACAGTATACACTTCAGATTTCTTTCGAAAAAAATAAACCCAAGTGAAACGGGTGCAGTCATCAATAAAGGTTACAAAGTACTTATATCCCAGCCATGAGACAACTGGAGACGACCAGACATCACTATGTATTAAATAAAAAGGAACTGTTGCATGCTCAAATTGAGAAGGAAAAGGTAAACTATGACTCTTACACAAACCACAAGTGATGCAATCTTTATTCACATTCTTAAAGGAAACAATAGAAACAAGTAAACTATCAGAAGCAAATAACTGATCAAGTTTCTTAGAAAATGGATGGCCCTGTCTTTTATGCCACAAATGCCAATCATTGTTACAATTAAAAGATTCAAAGCATGAAGTAGTAGAAAGCAAACACAAAGTAGAAGCAGGTGCAATCTTATTCATTTTAAATTCCAAATCAAATAGTCTTCCCAGCCTACGCCCCTTCCCCTTCACCTCCATAGTTTGCTGGTCCGGTATCAAACAACCATCAGAAGTAAATGAGACATTGTTAACTTCCTCTACAAGTTGGCCAATAGAAATCAAATTGGTGGTAAGCTTAGGTAGAAATAAAGTTTTGGACAAATGAAACAAAGATAACTTAAAGGTAAATAAATACAAATCATCACAACCAAGTATTCACCATTGGCAGTGATAATATGTTTATTTGGAAGGTGGGGTTTGGGATACTGACCGAGAGTGGCCCCTATCATATGGTTAGAGGCTCCTGAGTCAATATTACTAGAGGTGGTTTGGTGAAGGGCAATAGATCAGTAACTTACTAGACAAACCAATAGTAGGGAAGGCTGAAGAGATGATCGAGGACATGAGTTGTCAAATCTGTTCTTCAGACATGCCGCTAGAGGTGTCGTTTTGGCCAGCCATAGAAATAAGAGGAGAAGGCATCTGAACCATCTATAGCAGTCTAATAGGCCTTGTAGCTTCCTTTCTTCTGATTTGATCCACTACCTTTCTGAGGCCGGGTAGGACATTCGGTAATAATATGGTCGACCTGTTTGCAATATGTGCATGTGTTCTTCTTCTTACAATGGGAGACAACGTGCCCATACTCTTTACGTTCATAACATTGTACCTTATAGAAGTCCTTCCCTTTTGGTTTAGTTGCCAGGAAGACAAACATCAATGTTGGAATCCTTCCTTCCATTCAGTGTAGTCTGTGTAGTCAATCTGGTTTCTGCTCTCAAAATTTCTACTAGTATATAAGTTAGGAAGTGTTCCTCGGCTCAGGATATTAGATCTGACAACTTCAAACTCAGGCTGTAGGTGCATTAGGAAATGCATAATTTTTCTCTTGTCGAAGTGTTCCTTCATGTACTTCAGCAACAGTCTGAAGGATCATTTCCCATGTAAACTAACTCATATTCTGTCCAAAGATTGATGAATCCGGCATAATATTCTTGGACCTTTTTGTTTCCCTGATAGTATGAGAAGATATCAACCTTTATCTGATACTACCTAGAGGTGTTCGATTGCTGAATAACTTTCTCGAGATACTGGTACATCTCATAGGCTGTCCTGTACCCTATCATAGGAATAACAATTTTAGTTTTGACTGAACCTAGAATCCATGATGCAACCCCTCAAAGTCAAAACCGATCCAAACCAAACCAAAGGGATTCAGTAGATCTGCTCTGGGTGACACTAGATCTAAGATTTCAGGCTGATCTGATGTTTCTACAAGGAGATCTAAGAAGAAAGGTGAATCCGATGGTGCAGCAGTCCAGGAAAAAGATCTGTAAAGTTCAGATCTGTAGTGAATCTAGGAAGAAGATTAAAGGACACTTAAGAACTTCTCAAATACTGTTAGAGAGTTCTTGAACCAGTAATGACTGAGATGTTCAACGAGATGTGATGTGTAGATCAATCCGTGACCTGCTCTGATACCATGTTAGAGTCAAGTTGAAGGTTCAGAAAGAGAAAGAAAGAGACAACAGATTTGGTGGGTGTGACACCATGTGTCAGTCGACACCCTAAAAGATATATTAAAAAGATAAAAGGACAAATCTTCCCTTAGTGTACAAAAGAAAGAGTACAAAGAATAGTTATACAACAAAGAGAAGTAAAAGTACAAAAATAGCCCTGCGGCTAGATCTTCTCAGTCTCTACACAATTCATACATGTATCTTGTGTTCATAGATCAAACTTCCATTCAAATGACATAAAATTACTCATATTTTTTATTTTACCTAATGTCTCTAGAAACTTACTGAAGAAGAAATGGCAACTATAGACAAAGTCTGCAAGGAGGAAGCAAATTCCTTTGTTCTTTTTGATCCTGACATTGCAAGGGGCCTTCACCGACGAGGCTTGATCTATTTTGATGTCCCTGTGTATCCTGATGATCGCTTTAAAGGTAATCTGTATATCTTCATATTTTTGTTTCAAGCAGTATGATTCCTGAATTAAAATTCTACTATTGTTATTGATCAGTTGCTAAATTATCTATACTAACCACTAAACTATGATGCTTAGAATGTTGTATCTTCTGTGGATTATTGCCGTATATTTGCCTATATAATGTGAAATATATAAACTTGTACATGTACTGCAATGCTTGAACTACATTCAAAATTTTCAGAGGACATATTTTTTTCTAATGAAATACAACATATAATAACTTAGTTATTTGCTGTGGTTTTCCTGCTAAAACTCATTAGTGTGTTATATGGTTGATAGCTAGGGCTTGTAGCTTGGTTGAATGCATTATTTTTTCTTTATTTGGCATACGGCTTTCTTGAGTTGTATCAATCCATGTTCATCAATTTCCCTTGTATGCAACTCATAACATGCCATAATATATTGTGCCCAGTATAGGGACACAGCCAAAAGTGGGTTCTGGAATTCTTTGTTTTAAACTTATTTGAGTTCTTTTTAAATTACACCTTCAAAATTCTTAATGCTTACTCTGATTCAGTTTCTAGGCTGGAAGGTTTTGTTTCCAATAGGGAGCAGTCCTATGAAGATCCTATTGAAGAGTAAGTTCTTATGATTCTTTATTCTGGATGTTTCTGGTGGACCCTCAGTAGATCCATTATTTTTTTTATCAATAACACAATTGATTAGATAATCTCAATAATTACAAAGAGGAAGACAAACTTTCTTATGTTCCAATTACAGTTTGAGCCCAAGAAAGGAAAAAAGGAAAAAAGAGAAAGAGAAGGAGGAATTGAAAAAAAAAAAAAAAAAGATTACAACTGTGACCAAAACATTGACTCCCTCTCCACCCCTTGTTTAGCTAACCCATCCGTAAAAGAATTAGCTGATCTTTTTACCCAGGTGACTTTAACTTCCATTTCTCGAACCAGCCATCTAAATTTCCTCCTCACATTGCTGTAATTCCATAAGCCACTGTTGTCTTTATTTCAGACATCCTACCACCACCTCCGAGTCCCCTTCAATTATGAGTTTTTTTGATATTCATCTGCCTAGCTTTCTGGATTCCTTCCATAACTGCGTGGATCTCGGATCTGAGAGAGTCACCCACTCCTATTGGGCCTGAAAACATGGCAAGAACAATGCCATTCTCAGTAGATCCATTATCTTCATGCAGTTGATAATTTATTGTTCAGAAAACATTCATACTAACACTTCAAAATTCTTTATCCAGGTTACTCTATGCTGTTTTTGTTGTTTCAAGTGAAAATGCAACTGTTGCTGAACTGGCTGCAACATTACAAGCTGACCTTTCACAGCTCCAGGCTGCTGCATCTTTTGCTTGTCGACTGGGCTGGGCTGTAAAAGTAATTGATCCAGCATCTGTTCTCCAAGATTCAAGCATACCTGGATCTCCTAGTACCATTCTCAGCGATGATGAAGATGGTTCTCATTGTAGTGTAAGCTCAACAAACATGTCAACTGATGGCAATACTGTTCAGCAAGGAGATTATCTTGGGGCAGAAAACTATGGGCCATCTTCTGGCCATGCTCGTTTAGCTTTCGTTGTTGATGCTAATATAACATCCTATCTCATGATGGGTTCTGTTTCCCCTGGTATGCTCGCTCAAGTGGTAGTTGTGCATGCTCTTCCTACCCATCCTAATTATGTTTCTTTTATGTTCATTTTTTAGATACTGTCTTTTGTCTTTGTACCATGTGTGCTTTCTTTTTTATTTTTTCACTTTGTTGGACTTTTTTTTTGTTCATTCAGTCACATAAATTGTCATTTGAGAACTTATGAGCCTTATTGTTTCCTATACTATGGTAAATTGGGGTACTGAAACAGATTAATTATACTATTGCTGAAGCAATTAGAGTAGAATGTAGATATCAAGTAGGGTTTGGATGGGAAAGGAATGCAAATTGTATGTGAACCTAATTATGGATATGTATGAGGATGCAACAACCAATGTTTGAACACCTGTGGAAATTTCATCAGATTTTTCAATTACAATGGTCTTCTCCAGCTTCTGCTGAGCCATCATTAGACTTGTAAAGATTATCCTATTTCCCATTATGTATCTTTTGCTTATTTGTCTCCTTCCATTCAACAACTTGTTTCTCGTCTTTCTTTTTTTTATGTCTGTTTCCTTGTTTTGTCCAGAAGCCCTTGCCTCCCCTGACTAGGAGGTGATGGTTGAAGTTCATTCTCTTGATTCTAACCATACCTGGGAGCTGACTTCCTTGCCTCCCGACAAACAAGCTGTAGGGTGTAGATAGGTTTACATTGTTAAAGGTCACCTGATGGTAGTATTGAATGGTGTAAAGCATGGTTGGTAGCTAAAGGGTACACTCAGACATATGGGATTGACTATATTGAGACTTTCTCTTTGGTTGCCAAAATGAATTATTTATGAGTAATTGTTTCCTTGGTTGCTAAAATGCTCCCTGTTACATTTTGACACCAAGAATGCGTTCCTTCATGGTGAGCTTCAAAAAGAGGTTTATATGGAGAATAGGGGGGAGGTGCAGGAAAGGTGTGAAGGTTGAAAGAGGAAATTTATGGTATGAAATTGTTGCCATATGCTTAGTTTGATAGATTTGATAGTGTGGTAATGGAGTTTGGATTACATCAGTGCTATATTGATCATTCAGTCTTCAGTAGAGATACTTTATTTGGCAACATTATTCTTGTGGTATATGTTGATGAAATCATTATCATAGAAGAGATACTCAAGGAATAGATGGGTTGAAACCATTTTTGTAGTACAAATTCCTAACCAAGGACTTGGGTCAGCTATGTACTTTGGGATTGTGGTGGCAAGATCTAAGTATGTAATCTTCCTCTCACAGCAGAAATATGTACTTGATTTTCTGGAAGAAGCAAGATTACTAAGGGCCAAGCCAATTGAAACTCCTAATCTCCTATTGACCTGAACACTAAGGTAACTAATAGTGAGGGGGAGCTATTGGATGATCCAAGAAGATACAGGAAGCTTGTGGGATGTGGGAAAACTTATCTATCAGTTGTCAAGGCAACGCCTAGGTGACAAGGCACCATTGGAGGCTCATCTCACCTAATCGCTGAGATGTTTTGTACATTGTGTTATAAAATACTTTTATATTCTGAAATTTTTGAGATTATAATTATAAAATAGACATTATTAAACTAAAATATTCATTTTGCTTGTTTATATACTATTATCTTTTTATTAATTTTTTATTTGTTAGGGTTTCATCAACATAGGCATTGCTAAATGCTATATTGAGTCCTCAAAACTTCAAAACCTAAACCAATAAGTAAGGAAGAACTTAAAATTTTGTCTAATCAATGCATTTTATTTTTTCACATCTTCTTGTTCTTGTTCTTGTTCTTGTTCTTCTTCCTCCACCCGTTCTTTTCTTCTTTTCCTATCACAAAAATAGGGGTTTAGCCCCTATATTTTTTGAATTTTTTTTCTTTCTTCTTTTTCTTCTCATGAATATGTCGATATTCTATATTTTAACTTGAAGTTTATACTTTTTTTTATGAAAATTATGAATAGTTATTAAGGAAATATGGTTATGGAATTACCCTAGGACAAATTGTTAATTGGTGTCTTGGCACTGGCATCAATTGATACAGAGCTCTTACAGAAGGTACAAACTGTTGTTAGAACAAAATTGTTAATTAGGGGTGATAGCTATAAATATATAACCCTAGCAAGTGTACTAGTTATCAAGTAGTATAATAATATCGTTCCCACGGGGATTTAACAAAATAAGTATTAGAATCACAGTTTTCCTTAATTATTTGGACAATCGAAATTTGGAATTGAGAAAGAACTACTGATAATAAAACTGGAGTAAAGAAAATAAAAGCAAGGGTGATCACTAGTCGAATATGCAAATGATGAAATCACTAGGACCTTTGGTCCACCTAACCAATGTAATGAATATTGATGGGTTCTGATGAAGGAAGATTTGGCCCGACCTCGCAATCACGCTACGTGGCAAAAAACAAGTAGCTCGGCACTTGAAGTAGCGTACCCAGGGTGCAAACACCAAAGGGAAGAGACCAGTAGTCCGAACTCCCCTCGAGG